GCCATTGCCCCGACGCCCTACTGAAGCTCAACAGGAAGATAGGCCTGCTATTCCCCGCAAGCCAGTTGGAGCTGATAAGGAAGCCAACCCTCTTCCTCAACGTTTTGAATCCTCACACGATACTCATCAGCAACAACAAAGGCCCTGGACGCCTGAGTCCAATCTAACAGATGATGAGGAATATGGTCACATTGCCATGGTGAACTACGACAGCGACCATAGTACAAAATGAGAACTGAATATATTAGATAGGTAGTTAGCCTGACGATGTCTCTATGAACCGGTAGCTCTTAGCATATGGTAATAAGACTAAGCTTAAGCCAAATTACATAAATACTTTGACCACTTAGCTTCAAGGGTATATAGTTTTCCTTGTCATGATATGTATCCATGAAACTATAACGATAGAAAGCATACAACGATACATCCCTCAGGGAGCAAGAAAACTTATGCCTTAAAAAGAGGAATAAATTTAGGAAAGAGTCCATAAACATAGGCCAAATTACCTAAACATCTTCATTAGGTACTTAGGGTTCAAGGCTATAGTATTAAGGTTTCTTGCCTCTTAGTCTTCTAAGTATCAGGAAAGTCGAGAGTCGATTGAAGATATTAATCTATTATATACATATGCTTCATTTCATGAAACTCACACATCTTTTTCGGTTCGTTCACACCTCATTCATCATGGCCGGGTATCCCTAGCTCAGTAAATAAATTCGTTGCCTCCTCCTCGCTTTCCAGTCCCATCTCTTTGATGTGCTTCCAGAACTTGCTCAGATGTCTAGTTCCAGAGTCGCACAGGATGGTAACAACACGACTCCCCTTTGGAAGTCTCATAGCTGCCTCAACCGCGGCGACACAGTTGACAGAGCTACTGCTGCCGATGAATATACCATCGTGCTCAACTAGCCAGCGCGCCATGCGGCAGGCTTGTGCGTCAGTTACCCGCACAGCATCGTCGATAAGTTCGCGTCCCGCTTCGAAGTTCTCGGTCAGACGTGTGATTCCGATGCCTTCGACCATAGTATCAACCTGCTGCCTACGTCTTGTACCCTCACGTTCTGTCGAAGAGTACATAACGCCGTGGCAGACTTTGTTGTAGAGACCACTGCCCTGGGGGTCGGCGAGAACGACTTTTATATCAGTCGCCTTCTGCTCCTCCTTCAGATACTTCGCCACGCCGGAGACTGTCCCCCCTGTACCAGCTCCAGCGACGAAAGCGTCCAGCTGGCCATTCGTCTGCCGCCAAATCTCGGGACCCGTTGCATTGAAATGTGCTTTCCAGTTGGCCTCAGACTCAAACTGGTTGGCGAAGAAACCCTTACTACCATCCTTGGCCTTGCTGGCGTGTTCTTCCGCACGCCTTCGAGCAAGGTTGACAAAGTGATCAGGGCTGGTGATAGGTGCGGGAGTGACTCGCTCCACGGTTGCGCCAAGATGGAGGAGTAGATAAGACTTCTCGAGAGCCATATCGCTAGGCATACAGATATGAGCGCGGTAGCCCATTGCTCGGGCAAGAGTTGCGAGTGAGATACCCGTGCTTCCTACTGTGCCTTCATATATGGTATCGCCCTTATGTGGTGTTAGTAGACCTTTGGATTCTGCTTCTCGAATCATGTTAAGTGCAACACGATCCTTGGGTGAATTTCCGGCGCCATTTAGGAATTCTGCTTTGGCCATGATGAGCCGGCCTGTGGCTTTCGATAACGACTGAATCTTTATAAGAGGTGTGTTGCCGATGGTAGCTTCTATACCGTCTACCAGGCTATTCCTCACAACGTCATAAGACGTTGGTGTTGAAGGCTGAGACTCATGATCCTGGAGCTCAACAGGGTCGCCCCAGAAAAGACTCGATCTTCGGCCACCACCTGTGTTTGCACGCCTCTTGCGCTGGAACCGACGTTCAAGATCTGGGTAAAAGTCCTTGAATCCTAAAGTGACGAGGATGCCAGTTGTGAAGGCGAAGACAACGGCAGCGGTGCCGTAGGCTTTTGGATGGTCGCTGAGCGCCATTTTGGGAAGTCCTTGGCTAGTGTACCCAATGAACTCATCAGTTGGGCATTCACTGGAGAACTAGAATGCCTGCATTGTTGACTGCGCTTCTGATGAGTTGAGGTTGCGGTTGAAACTTGAATAATCTTGGTTAAAGCTGAGTGATAAGGTATGAGTAATGAACCCTGGTGCGTGCGTGATGTCATGTGGAGCTTATTAGCTGTAATTATATCCGCTACAAACCTCCCCCAGGAGCAAGAAACCAAGGTGCCAAAACCATAATCTACGGAGTAAGGTCTACTAGTTAAGTCTATGCTAAGTTGTCCTAAATTATCATAAGTCTTTTTATTATCTATCATAGAGGCTAATCTTTCTTGCCTCTTCTTGACCTCAAATAGCACCGTATCCATGATATGATTATGCTTTTAATCTCTGCCATAAATAAATGTCCCAGGGCCGAATATTGAGAAGCTTTTGATCATTACTTTACCAATGATTCTTCATAAGAAGTTGTGCTCATATATCTTGGTTATAACCTCACTTTAAGCCCCTCCAAACTTCCGGGAGCTCTAGAGATCAGACGTTTCGATACCAAGGACAAAAGTCAAGGACACGGCAATTGTTCAAGCTCAAATGATGAAGGTACCTATTCATAATCTAAAAAAGGAAAACTCGCACATGATCACCCAAGTATGAATTGGCAAATCCTCTACTCTCTCCCTCACTCCCGATCTCAACCCGAGGTACTCCCGACCAACTGAGACCCACACCTTCCAATGTAAACCATCTCAAACCTCAAAACACTAAATCCCCAAGAAACAACATGTCGACGATATAACAAGAGTTTCTACAACATGGACTCCCCAATTGTGGCCCAAATCTTCCGCCAACTCTTCCACCATCGACCTCCAGGCTGTAAAGGCGTCAGAAACCTCGCCGGTCTTCGCAATGGCCTTCGAACCACTATCGCCAGTCATCAGAGCCGCTTCTATGTTGCGGGACGACCCTCTAGTGATCGCGGAATGAAGAAAAACGAGAGTCGATGGCAGCAGCGCACGAACATTCTGCCCCAAGACCGATCTGCCGAGTTTGCCGAGTACCCCTACATAACGATTGACGAGCTCAAGCAACGAACCGAACGACCACGAAAGGTCAAAATGCTGCTGAGAGACTTTATTGACGGCATGACACTCGAGTATCCCTCTCGGAATGGAAGAATAACGTAGCTATAGACAGTCTTTACAACCCCTCATATGGATACTTCTCCAAGCAAGCCGTCATCTTCAGCCCCGGCGAGCCATTCGACTTCAACTCAATGCGCGATGAAATTGAGTTCCAGGCCGAGCTAGGCCGTCGCTACACCGAATTCGAGGATATTCTTGATGAGAGAGAAGGAGAGAACCCAACACGCCAGCTATGGCATACGCCTACCGAGCTCTTTCGTCCCTACTACGGCGAAGCCATCGCCCGCTACCTCGTCACGAATTACCGTCTCACCACATACCCATACCACGATCTTCTGATCTACGAAATGGGCGCCGGTCGTGGAACGCTCATGCTCAACATCCTGGACTACATCCGAGAAGTCGATCCTCAAGTGTACGCCCGCACAAAGTTCAACATCATCGAGATTTCCTCAACGCTCGCTGCGCTGCAAAACAGACATCTTCTCTCCACGGCTGCGTCTCGAGGCCACGCGGATAAGGTCGAGATTATCAACCGCTCCATCTTCGACTGGGACCAATACGTGCCGTCACCTTGTTTCTTTCTCGCCATGGAGGTCTTCGACAACTTCTCCCACGATGGTATCCGCTACGACGTTGCTACCGAGCAGCCCCTGCAAGGCCACGTGCTGATCGATGGCGACGGCGACTTTTACGAATTCTACTCTCAAGAGTTGGACCCTCTTGCTGCACGATACTTCCGTGTCAGACACGCTGCCACAGGGGGAAACTATCCGAAACCGTACGCCAGCAATGCTGTTCTACGATATCTATCCACCAAGATACCGTTTGCTGCCAATCTCTCAGATCCGGAATTTATCCCCACACGGCTGATGCAGTTCTTTGACGTTCTTGAGAAATACTTCCCAGGACATCGTCTTGTGACTTCTGACTTTGACTGGCTACCTCAAGCTGTCAAGGGTATGAATGCACCTGTGGTTCAGACACGGTACCACAGAAAGATGGTGCCTGTTACAACCCCCTTGGTAAGCTACAAAGCCCACTGTCATTGAATATTGGTAAACTAACACCACATAGGTCCATCAAGGATATTTCGATATTCTGTTCCCAACAGATTTCCGCGTCACAGAGGCCATCTACCGCGCCATCACGGGAAAGTTGACTCGTGTTATGTCGCATGGTGATTTCATGCGCAAGTGGGCATACGTTGAGGACACCGAAACCCGAAGCGGAGAGAATCCCTTGATATCAAACTACCGCAACGCCAGCGTTCTTGTAACTGTATAAAATTAGCCGTGAACAAAAGTCAAAGCAAAGGGCTATCCTCAAGGAGCAAGAAAACACNNTGAGTTTTCTTTCCTCCCCTGGGCCATGGAGATATACATCCGGAAAGATACAGTATATACCATCTCATCAAACCATCATGTTATCAATGGTGTTCTTTAATTCATCATGCTTCTTATGGCAATGGTAAATGGCCATGCCTATCTGAACGCTCTATGTCCTTTCTTTTATCTGACCAGATCCCCGATATTACTCCCAGCTGAATGAATAATCATAAATTCCCATTGAGCAGAGTAGAAAGACAAACTTTACAGCTTAAGCTTTTCGTTGAGCCACTTTGTCGCAGTCTCAACACCTTCGTCAATGTTCTCAGGCTTAGTACCCTGGCCTTGTCGTACAGGCTCCTTGCCGCCCGATCGGCCACCAATAATCTCCGACACGGAGGCAGCCCATTGCTCAGCAGTGACGCCTTGAGAAGCAAGGTGCTGAAATAGTTAGTCAGTGTATGCAATACTAATGATAGGGGTAAACTTACAGTTCCGACGTAGACACCATGTGCAACGGCACCCTCCTCCTTGCTACCAGCAAACAAGTAAACAGTCTTCTCCTTATCCTTACCCTGATAGTGCTTGACCACATCAGGCAGGGCTTTACTACCAGTGGCACCAACGGGCAGGCGGCCAACGAACCACTTGGCATCCTTGTTAGCCTCGAAGTACTTCTGGACAATATCAAGCGCAGTCTTGGACTCGGCCTTCTGGCGCTTCTTCTGCTCAGCAATCACAGCAGCAGAAATCTTTTGGAAACGCTTGTTGAACTCATCCTTTGTCAAAGTTGAGATTGTCAGCTGGCTGAGCTCCACAGATACGGCCTTGATTTGAGCCTCCTTCTCAGGACCGAAAGGTAGCTTGTCGAGAGCATCAATCTTCTTGGAGAATTCATCAGCCTCACGTTGAACCTTATGAGCAGCTTCACCAGTATAGGCAATGATACGGCGAATACCCTTTGCGATACCACTCTCCTCAATAAGGATGAGGTCCTTGATTAAGCCAGTTTGCTCAACATGGGTACCGCCACAGAATTCAACACTGTACTGACGCCATTCCTTCTTCTTGGGGTCGGCGAGCATCTCATCGATATCTCTGCCGATGGAGACAACACGCACAGGATCGGGATAGGTCTCGCCAAAGACAGCACGGCAGCCCTCAATCTGGCGAGCGAGATCCAAATCAACCTCCTTGGAAAAGATCTTGTCCTTACGGCGAATGTATGAGTTTGACATGTCTTCGATCTTCTTGAGCTCCTCAATCTTGACGCCAGTCTTGTGGGAGAAATCGAAACGGAGCTTCTCGTTGTCCACCAAAGAACCCTTCTGGTTGACATCATCACCAAGAACCTCCCGTAGGGAGTGGTTCAGAATGTGAGTACCGCTGTGGTTGTTGCGGATAGGAGATCGGCGCAATTCATCGTACTCGCAGATAACCTCGTCACCAGAGGATAGTGTACCATACTCGATATAACCGTTGTGTAGAATATAGCCACCATAGTTCTGAACATCAAGAACCTTGAACTCGGCGACATCATCAATGACGATACGTCCAGTGTCAGCGACCTGACCACCAGATTCGGCGTAGAAGTTGGTCTTATCGATCAACAGACCCAGAGCAGTCTTCTCGGGGACTTCCTTGGTCGACTTAAGGAAGGATTGGCCGTCGTAAATGAGTTGGACCTTACCCTTGGTGTCACCCTGAGCAAATTTGGCGTCGTCGTTAGTTCGCTCAACCTTAAGATCCTTCTCCAGCTCAGAGATTTGGTGCACATTGAGCTTGGAGAAAGTCTGGACAGACTCCTTGACTGCCTTACTGGCCTCACGAGCCTTGATTCGAGCAGCCTCAACCTCAGCATCATCAATATCGAGGCTTCGCTCTTCAGCCATCAATCTAGTCAGGTCCACGGGGAAACCGAAAGTGTCATAAAGTCGCCATACAACATCACCCTCGAGCTTCTTGGAGCCACGCTTGGTAGCCTCGGCAGCGTACTTCTCGAACTGAGCCTCACCACGATCCAGAGTGCGGGCAAAGGCGACCTCCTCCTCATCGAGAATCTCCTTAATGTCTTGCTGCTTCTTGACAAGCTCGGGGAATTGCTCGCCCATCTGGTCAACAAGCGCAGGCAAGATCTTGGAGAAGAAAGCGCCGATATCGGCGTTGAAATACTTTCGAGCATATCGCACACCTCGTCTTAGTACACGTCTAACAACATAACCTCGGCCGTCGTTGTTGGGAACAGCACCGTCAGCGATGGAGAAAGAAAGGGTTCGGATGTGATCAGCAACTACACGGTAGGCGGTATCAATGCCATCGGCATCATCCTTGCCATACTTGTCGGCGTAGGGTCGAGCGCCAGTGACCTCCTGGATCTTCTGGAAGAGAGGGGTGAAGCAATCGGTGGCGTAGTTGGAAACCGTATCCTGAAGGGCAGAAACCAGTCGCTCGTAGCCCATACCAGTGTCGATATGCTTGGCGGGTAAAGACTTGAGGCTACCGTCCTTTTGTCGATCGTACTGCATGAAAACGTTGTTCCAAACCTCGACAACCATAGGATCATCCATATTGACGAGGCTGGCAGCATTGCGGCCGCCGCCGACCTTGTCGTAGTGGATCTCACTGCAAGGACCACAGGGGCCTTGGTCACCCATCTCCCAGAAGTTATCCTTCATGTTTCCAGGAAGGATGTGATCCTCGGGAACACCAACCGAGAGCCAGAGCTCCTTGGCCTCCAAATCAGGCTCCAGCTTCAGCTTCTCATCACCCTCGAAGTATGTGACGTAAAGACGATCGGGGTCGAGACCATAGACCTTTGTCAAAAGCTCCCAAGAATATGAAACAGCCTCCTTCTTAAAGTAGTCGCCGAAAGACCAGTTGCCCAACATCTCGAAGAATGTGTGGTGATAGCTATCCTTGCCGACATCGTCGAGATCGTTGTGCTTGCCACCAGCACGAATACACTTTTGACTGTCGACTGCGGCCTTGAGGCCGGCCATGGGATCAGTCTTGCCAATGGTGCCGAGGAAGATAGGCTTGAATTGGTTCATGCCGGCATTGGTGAAAAGTAGGGTGGGGTCATTGTGAGGGACGACCGATGAAGAGGGAACTGAAGCAGAAGAAGTCTTGTTAGTGATTTGTGAGTCAGAGGAGAAAAAAACCAAGTAGGTAGTGATGTCAAGGCAATCCCTCTCGAGAAATTGGATATAACTTCAGTATATTTTAATGCAGTGAGACGAGGTGCCCGCGCTATCGCAATCGCATACCAATTGTGTGACCCCTCTGCTCGAAGTACTCGAGAAAGGTCTTGCGCACGCGCGCAGCGGGCCACTTCAGCTCCGACTCGGCCATGGTCGCGCTGGAATAAGACCGACGAAGAATAAAAAAAGGCAATCTCTTGTTAGTCGCAGTCCTGAAGATATTCCGCGCAGACGCTGCAGTGATTGTCGGCCGTGGAGGAATCGTCGTGGTGGTAGTGGGGGTTTCTGATTGTAGATTGTGGAGGAGAAGTTGAAGTTGCTGGGATCCGAGTTGGAGATGGAGTTGCTGTGGCGGCGTAGGCGCAGGCGGAGAAGGGTAGAAAGTTCTACAAGAATGAGTCAAGACCGAGACGGATACATAAGGCCCACGCTCTCCCGCGCCGATAATCGTCCTCAAGCTCCGGGCCCTACAGCGCCGACTCCAACGCCCGCAACCGCTGAAGCTCACTGCAGTATTTCCGTTTCCGCCCCTAGTGACACTCGCCCGATTGATGCACGCCCACATCGAGCCTCGAGAGATAGAGGACAGGCAATCCAATCCAATCCCTCCCCTACCTTAGCCAAAGAAAAGGAGCCCGTCGCCTTCACGCAAAAGACAAGTCAAGACTTCAAAATTTCATACTCCCCACGTGTGTTGCTAGTGTCCTTCTCCGAGCCGTTGATTCGACCTTCAATCGGATAGTCCAGGTGTTGAAGGGTTTAAAAGCTCGCCATTTTAGGCCTTGGTGGACTACGAATTGGCCACCCATTGCGATCATGTTACAATCCCCGTCATCTTCCGCCCCAGCTACAGTAGGTGTAGCCGAGGGGGTCGACAAGACAAGAAGATTGCGCCGAAAGAGAAAGGCAGAGACACAAGACAATGAACGTCTTTCTAAACGCTTGAGTCTCCTTAATCTAGGTATGTTTTATTCCTGTTTCTCCCATTCATCACATTGTCTTTATCCTTGTTCGCGATGCCCATGAACTAACACCTATCGTGTCTACAGAACGGAGCGGGAACAAGTTATACGTCCCTGTCGAACAACCAACAACAACTTCAATTTCTTCTGCTGCTCCAGTTCCTACACCTTCCAATGTTGTTTCCAATCCAGTTCCCGATGAGACCATGCAATTAGACGATTCAAAACATAAAGTATACATCTACAACATGGATGATGAGCTCTCCTCCGATAGCGAAAGCGATGACCCGGGCAAGCTTGTCTTCTTACCAGATATCGAAAAGCATCTGCGCGCGAATCGCATCCCCCCGTCGGTATTAGCCAACAGCGAGGGAGAACTAGCCGGCATGCAGGTAGTGCTGTATAGTGACCCCAAGTCATTGACGGTGCCAGAGGACAAAGATAGTGTGCGCAAGGCCATCATCGAGTCGAGGAATCGCACAAGAGAGCTACAGCGGCTAGAAAGGGAGGGTAAAACGGAGGCCCCAACGATACAAGACGCCACATTGAATACTGGGATTGCCACGAGTACAGACGATGACCCGGACGCGATGGATTTGGACTAGAGGAAGGGAGCCTTATGTGACGCCCGATACACACACTTATATATACCCAGGGCGACTGGAGTTGGTTTACTGTGAATTGGAAAAGAGAGCCTGGCGCTTGAACGCCGGCATTTGCTTGTATTTCTATGCTAGCTACATTCATTGATTGACTTTCAATTTCATGCTTTCTCACGTGGCCGCCCAGCGACTTCTGAACCGCTACATGGCTCAAGAATCAATCATCCATACACGTATGCCTCTCAACCGAACCCTTCCAGCGCCTAACATCGTTTATCGGGGAGGCGGAGGTCCTGTTGGAGGAGCATAATAGTCTGCCGGTCCATCGGCCTGTCTCTGCTGTCCTTGCGCCGGGTCGATCTTTGAGGCATTCGGGGGCTCTTCGTACATGGGAGGTCGTGATGGGTCATAGACTGGTGGAGGAGGCATGTTATGCATGGGATATCCGCCAGGCTGGGCGTAGTTTCCAGGAGGAGCGTAGTAGTATCCGTTAGGAGGATATGCGTAACGGGGATCGACCTGAGCCATCATGCGCCTACTAACAAAACACTGCGGAGGGTTAGAATTGGTGTTTTGGGTGTGTATCACTGGTGCGACTTACTCTATGATATGCTAGTGGTCGTAAACCCTTTTGGATTCTCTTCTTTGCATGCCAGTATCCTCCGACGATCCAGAGTGTAAAAAGAAGTACGATCACGGCAAGGATAGTCCATTTGACGATATATCCCTCCTGTTGTCGAGTTAGCATGCGCAACGTGAAACGTGAACGTGCGAAAGTCAATGATGGATGCTTACTCTGCTATACCACCAATAGACATCGTCATCATCGGTGAAGTACTCGGAAGTCTCATCGTCCCTGCGCTCAAGCGCATACCTCACAAAACTCGCCATAGTGGCGATAAGAGATCGTTCTTTAGAATAGGCTGGTGCGTGTGTTTGTTGGTTTTTGAGATGGATGGAATCAGCCGAGTACGAGGTACGCTGAACGGTACTCCGAGGTCCGTAAAGGTGATTGAAAGTGCTCTCCTCCACTAAAGTTCACAGTTGCTAAGGTGCCAGGTGCCAGGTGCTAGGTGCCCGAAGGATGCGTAAACAACCCCCAATCGCAGGGATAAATGAATGAATGGATGTCAAAGTCAGCACTTGTCTTTGTGGAATGAAGAGAACGGCCCCAGTGAGTAAGAAGATGAAGGGACGAGAAAGAAATAGACTAGAAGGAGTTTACTAGGAGGATATGCTAGGAATTCCAAAGGGAGAAGGTTGGTTTTCACATAAAGGCCCTGTCGTACAAATACGATCTCCCCCTCCCCCTTCGGTTTCGTTTTAAGCGGGCGCTCCAATGCACAAAGGCAAGACAAGAAAGGGGACAGGAGGGGGCGATAGCCACTGCCAGTGCCTTTATCGTGCGTAGACGCGACGATCTCTGCGGCAGAGTTACGTTACGCTCGACTCCTCAAGTTTCACAGGCTGACAGTAGCAGGGTTGTGGTCACGTCCCAGCGGCTACGAGCCTAAGACAAGCCACAGAGCCGAAGAAATGCACCACCCTCTCGCCTCTTTGTCTCCTACAAGTCCAAGTTTATCGCTACTTACCTACGTACTCAGCTACTCCATAAAGACGATCGTGTTTGAATAAGGTAGCGACTAACTACCTACTTAACTAGTCTATTTAGCCTCTCAGCTTACTGAGTCTGAGGGTTGCTCTGAAGAATCCTTCACAAAGAGAATAAGACTCTGCCATGATAAGCGATACAAGCCCTGCATATAAATGAGACTCAGCAGTGAGTATTACTGTACATATCATGCTCAGTAAACCGTGAGACGGATCGATCGACATCCGTACTGTATTTAGCGTATGACAAGCAGCCATCAGTTCAGCCTCGTAGCTACTTGAAACATCTCGCACGTCTTTTCTTGTAAAGCCACGACTACGGTAAACACGGACATTCCGGCCTCATTCTATCTAATTATCCATCATGCACGCCAACTCCTCGAGTCGTCCATAACTCAAAAAACTTCACTTTCATGTCAGTAACCGTTACACTTATGCACGCAAAGGTTACAACTATAAGTTTATCATATTCTGACAACCAATCCAAAGACGCCATCGCTCTAATGCTATTAACAACATAAATAACCACGCTACTTCTGAGATTCTACAAAACTACGCCTCCAGCGGCTCCCCAGCCAGCGAAGCCGGGACCTGGACCATCGAGGCGAGGGTTCGGCGGGAGGCCTTGCTCTCTTCTTCGAGCGTCTTCTGCTTGTTGATGCGCCTGTTGCAGCCGCTGTCTCCACCATAATAAAAAGACAAGTGAAAAGGTGACTCCAATGATCAGGATGCTTTCTAGTACACCATCGTCGTCATCTGTTCCCTGTCCGTCACCGAGAGCACCATCGTATAAATCACCTCCAGCGTAATGCTCCTCCTCGTAGTATTGGTTATCCTCTCGCAGGAAGTTGGCGATCCACTCGGAGAATGAGCGATCCTTCTTAGGTTCTGGAGGCTTTGTAAGTATGTACCCAGGATTTGTATCTGACAAGAGAAACTTACTGGGCTCATCCTGGATCGAGTGAATTGGTCCATGTGTCAGTGTGTTCCAAGCGCTTCGAAGGCGAAGCTTCAGGAGACTCAAAGTTACTGGTAGATATGCTTCGTCGTTTACCTCCAGGGCATGATCGTAATATCTCTTTGCCAGATGGAAGTCTTGTACCAGACCAATGCCGTTTTCATGCATCCAACCGAGGTTGAACAGTGCTTGTGCGCTCTGAGAGTAGTCGGAGGCCCCGGTATAGCACTGGACAGCCTTTGTGATATCTTCTTCAGTACCAATACCATGGTAATAATAATCACCCATCTTGACCAGTGCATCAACGTTAGACTGTCTGGAAGATCGCGTCCAGTAAATAAGAGCAAGAGATGGGTTCTCGAGAAGACCACTCTTCTCTCGGGGTTGTCCAAGTAATGACGAAATAGAAACCCCATTTTGAACAGAATCTATCATGTAGGCAACATTGGTCTGGGCCTTCTCGTAGCCTTGTTCGGCGGCCAGAAGATATTCGAGGAATGCAAGTTCGTAATCGCCAGCCTCGTAAGCGTCGTTGGCGTCGCCCCATGATGACACCAGGGGCTCTGCCTTCTCGGCAACGCTCTTGTAATACGTCAAGGATGCAGGACAATGCTTCTCTCGTCCGACACCATGGTGAATCATCTCTGCAATATAGTAGTGGGCTTCAATGTTGCCGTGCCTACCGGCGAGTTCAAAATAGTTGTTGGCAATCCTGACATCTTCCTGGCCACCCTGGTCTAGGTAAAGCTGACCCATCTGCACCAAAGCTGGGGCATAATCCTGATCGGCCGAGGACTTGAAGAGCTCCATAGCCCTCTTCACATTCTCTTTTTGGCCGTAGCCATGAAGCATCATTAGGCCAAGACCATGTTGTGACTGAGCATCGTGCTGTGTAATTCCACGCTCAAACCACACCTTGGCCCGCTCAAAGTTCTGAGGAACACCGTCGCCTCTCAAATACATCCGACCCAAATACCCAGCAGCCTTACTGGCAATCTTTTCGATTCCAGGCTTCGGGTTCTCGCTTAGGCGACCGTCCTTCTTCCAGTAACGTAATGCGACCAGAACAAAATACTTACGTGCCAGGTCAACATCTCGTTCCAGGCCTCGTTGGCCGTCATAGTATATGCGGCCGAGGTTATATGAAGCCTTGGAATCGCCCTTTTGAGACATAAGATCCAGGTACTCAATCACATCGTCTATGGCGGCATTTGCATCAGAGCCAGGGCTGGCCTTGAATGCGTTCATGCCTGAGCTTGAAGCGCTCGCCCCTTCTCCGTAGATACCTCCGTCGTCGTCAGAAATTCGCCATGACTGATGGATCCAAGATCGACCACCTGGAGGGCCCGCTCGGTACCAAGCTATAGCTTTGTCTGCGACACGCTTGTAATATTTCACTGCTGCCTCGCAATTCTTCGTCGTGCCAACACCAGCATGATGTCGAAAGGCCGTTGCCATCTCCGCACGAGCATTTCCACGAATAGCAGCAAAGGTATAATAGAGAAGCGCCTTGGCTTGGTCACGCTCTACAACATTACCGATCCCGGTCGAATAGTAGACTCCCAGCATATACTGGGCTGTTGAATTTCCATAGACAGTTGCAAGTTGATGGTAGTTGTTGAAGGCCACCTCCAAGTTCCTTGGGTAACTATAATTGCCGAAGAAGTTTATCTCGGCAAGTAGGTAGAGAGCATCGGAATTGTTTTGTTGTGCGGCTTGTTCGAGAAATTCGACCGCTTTTGCGACAGCGCCGTTGACAGTGGTCTCTTGGGATTGCGACGGGGCTGTTGCCGGACCAGATGGAACGGCTTTAAGTATGTAACGCAAAGCAGTGCCGACGAGTCCCGAAGGTCTTCGCTTTCGGCGATGTAAAGGCTGAGGGGCTTTTGTAAGTTCTATTCTTGCTGCATCGACCAGTTCGGCGCCTAGAAGCTGTCAGTGTCTTTGCGCCTTGTTGGTGGTGGGAGTAGTCGTACCAGGTTGCGGGCCAGCAGGCTGGCTTTGATCGACAACGACGTCGGTCTTGGGAGAAGCGATATGTTGGTTCTGTCCAGCTCCTTCAAGTTTCTTATCCTTGTACGTCTCGTCATAATGTTTGACATTTGTGCCGAGTCCTGTGGTTACCTGCCAAAGCACTAATAAAGAAGTCAGCAAGCCAAATTGACAGCTGTCGCGTGTTACAACAAGGTATGAAATGATTGACTAACGGAGGACCCAGACTATCGATTGACGCATCATTGGCAGCTGCTATGTGCCGGAAAGGTCAATTCTGCTATAGAGCATGGCTATAATGCAGAGTAATAATTTGGTGAGGCCAACGGTGTTGGAGTTACAAGCTGTCCAGTTGAGGTCGGAGCTTGAATGAGGTAATGTGGTGGCCCAAAAGGGAAAAGCGCAGAACTGTATGGCTGATGATTAAGCAACGTTAGGCCAGGAACCGACACACTCTACGACCCTATTACATTGGTTCAGCATCAGGTGACGGATAAAAGACTGCGACTTTTGTCTTTGCATTATGAGAACTGAGCTCCAATTGGAACCTGCTTTGACTTCAGTGCACATGCTACCCAGTAAACATTGCACGAAATCAGATTGGCTCTCTACCTACCTATGTGCTCCGTACGTAGGTTGGTATACGATACACCAACCATTTGAGATTCCACAATTGCGTTTAAAGACCATGTCCAACCAGCAGAAGCACAGCAAACAGTTTGGCTCACACGGGCCCCTAGTCTCACGGAGGATTGGTTTCTAATGATTTCGTTAAATATATTCCAAAGATAGCACGGCAGGTGATAAGTTTCCTTAAAGTCCTATCCGTATATAAGGTAGGTAGATAGTCCTCGGGGAATAAGAAAGGCTCTGGCCTTGAAGCAACATGCCAAGACAACTCGTCTAGGATATACTAGGTCTTCTTTTCATTCGGAACAGGAACCCTAAGATTTATTATTCGGTAGGAAGCATACTATCTTTCCATGCAGAGACTCAGAGCAAACCAATTTCACCGCATACCTACAATACTGTAGATACTCCGTACGGATATGCAAGGACTATTCAAATTTGAGCGACTATCCGATGATTCAGTTCATGGCGCTATAATCTGCCGAAACTCTGTTTGATAACCACTTTCAACAAACAGAAGCAATTATACTCAAATATCGCTTCGGCAACTGCTCTTTTTGGAGTTGTTCGACCTGATGCCTGGTGGACTGACGGCGTGGCTTGCTAGTGCTGAAGCTATCCTAGGCCCCCAACCACTCGGAGTTTCAGGTCCCTGTAGTTAGTGTCTCTCCAAGCCTCCCGTCCTCAACGCGAAAGTCAC